ATCTTCCTACAGGCTCTGAGAAAAATACATTCTTGTTGAGTTTTTGAAAAAATCCATGAGATTGCTGTAAACGTAAATTCCTGCAAAATTAGGGAAAAGCTGTGTCTATTACAATCTGTTGATGTGAACAGATGTCAGCACCTGTCCTCCAGACGTACGATGGAGCACGTGCCTGAACCAGCCAGTCACATTAAATACATCGTAACATTCATGAGGTACTTTGCATTGACTGTTTATGGTTGAGTGCAGGCGAGTAGATGGCAGAACCTGAGGCGAGACCTTATTCGCAAACTCTGTGTAACTGTAACTATAAAGGAAAATTGGTTGAAGGTGTGTGTATGCATGGTTATATAAATTAATTTGTTTGGCATTCACCATTTTCACCTTTTGGCCATATGTTTACTCTTAGTATGGTTTCCAAGCACTCCTTTATAAATGAGGCCCCAGGTCCTTCAGTATATTCAGGTAGTCAGAGGACAATGATGCTGACCGTTGTGGAACCAGACCACCTGGGTGCCTCTCTTCTGCGCCCATCGCTGTGGAACAGGATCAATCTCGACTTATCAGACCACATAACCTTCATTTGCTCCAGAGTCCAATCTTTTTGCTCTAATAACTTGGAACTGTTTCTTCCCATTAGCCTCACTAAATTGAATGGTGATTCTTCTTACAGCTACACAGCTATTTAGTCCCAATCCCTTAGGCTTCCTTCACATGTTTGTATGAAAATGCTCATACTGTCACTATTGAACATATCTATGAGTTCTACTGTCCTCTGTCTATGATCTGATTTCACCAAACTTTTAGTTGATCCACAATTGTCATTCAAGTTTTTTTTTCTGACAACATTCCTTCCTGGAAGATGAACTTTCCCCATTGTCCTTCAGTTTTTGATCATGTATTGACAGTTCTGATTTTAGTAGTTTCAGTAATCCCCTTAGATGTTTTCTTTTTGATGCCAATCATTTGACCCATAGGAAATGCATAAACATCTTTTCCACAACCACAAGATGTTTAAACGGGTATTTTTTAACAAATGAGAAGCAACGCACTGAAACTGTGAGAATAACTTGTCAGTTGAAGCATAATCACTTATACAGTAAATGTGGAATGGGAGGCCGTTACCTATTTCCTTGGTTAAATCCAGGTGGTGGCCTTTTTTCACCAGGCAGTGTATATATTAGTATAGTAACTGTAATATTACACTTTTAAAAATTATTCCCTTGATAAGTAATTGATTTTACTGTATGCTACTGGTTATATATTGATGAGTGCCAAGTTCTTTTGAGATAGTTAAAATATATGCATGTAAAATCTTTCACAGTTTGTTCTGGAGTTTGGCATGCATCCTGCCTTAAACAAATTTCCAAAAAGAACTTTCAACACCCATCACAGGTGAGCATTTATTAAAGTTTTTAGGTTTACTGACTTTAAAGTGTCTTGATAACATTTAAGTTATCTTTCTCACTACTTCAGGAAAAAGAAATTTTCAAATATTCTGGAAATGAACAGTTGTCAGATGAGGACAGCTCGGCACCCTCGGAGCTACATTACATGTCAGATAATTTGTTTGATGAGGACTATGTCCCAAATTCAGAAACCAGTGATGATTCAGATACAAGCATCCCGCTACAGTCTAGCCAGTCAAACGTTGGACAGATTCAAGGAAAACCAGCAACACCTGATCTTGACACAAGTGTCCCTGATGTACCCAGCACATCAAAACATTGTAGCCCTGGTCTCACAGATAACATGAGTGAAGATGCTGTTGAAACATTGGACCAAGCCAGTTCTATCAAAAATGATAAATGTCGAGGTAAACACAAAGTGGAATCCCAAATGCAGATGACAAGTATTAAAAACTACTGTTTTGTTTGTGGTAAGCCGCAAAGCAAAATTACACGCCATTTAAAAACGCACAAGGAAAATGCTGAAATTGTCCATATATTTTCCCTTCCTGCGGATTCTAAAGAGCGCAAATTTTTATTAGAGAAAATGAGAAACAAAGGAAACTTCAGGCATAACACTGCAGTTTTACTAAGCGGAGAAGGAC